GAACCATTTAGAAACGTTTATAAACTATATACAGACATTCATGAAACTCTGTAGGGACAATAATTGAACTATTTAGAAACGTTTATAAACTATATAGAGACATTCATGAAACTCTGTAGGGACAATAATTGAACCATTTAGAAACGTTTATAAACTATATACAGACATTCATGAAACTCTGTAGGGACAATAATTGAACTATTTAGAAACGTTTATAAACTATATAGAGACATTCATGAAACTCTGTAGGGACAATAATTGAACCATTTATAAACGTTCATAAACTATATAGAGATATTCATGAAACTCTGTAGGGACAATAATTGAACTATTTAGAAACGTTTATAAACTATATAGAGACATTCATGAAACTCTGTAGGGACAATAATTGAACCATTTAGAAACGTTCGTTAAATGATGTACGGTGAAGGTATAATGACTGAACGATCTATGAACGTTCATAAAGCGTTTAGGGGAATTTATTATACACTGAGGAGACATTTATAAGGATTATGAACAATTAAATCATGAGTCATAAACACTGGAAGGATAACAAGTATATAACGTAAAGTACATTTAAACTTGGATTTAAATAATGCTGTAATAAAACGTATACTTGATTATATAGCATACCACATTTCTCTAAGTTCAGTCTTTATATGGTCTGTGTTATTAAAGTATTTTATCTAACAGTCTAGTTGAACTACCTATGTGTTTAGGTTGGTCTGTGTTATTAAACTATTTTATCTAACAGTCTAGACAAACTACCTACATGTTTAGGTTGGTCTGTGTTATTAAAGTATTTTATCTAACGGTCTAGATAAACTACCTACATGTTTAGGTTGGTCTGTGTTATTAAACTATTTTATCTAACAGTCTAGACAAACTACCTACATGTTTAGGTTGGTCTGTGTTATTAAAGTATTTTATCTAACGGTCTAGACAAACTACCTACATGTTTAGGTTGGTCTGTGTTATTAAAGTATTTTATCTAACAGTCTAGACAAACTACCTACATGTTTAGGTTGGTCTGTGTTATTAAAGTATTTTATCTAACAGTCTACTTAAACTGTATATGTTCAGGTTGGTCTGTATTATTAAAGTATTTTATCTAACAGTCTACTTGAACTACCTACGTGTTCAGGTTGGTCTGTGTTATTAAAGTATTTTATCTAACGGTCTAGATAAACTACCTACATGTTTAGGTTGGTCTGTGTTATTAAGGTATTTTATCTAACGGTCTACTTGAACTACCTATGTGTTCAGGTTGGTCTGTGTTATTAAAGTATTTTATCTAACAGTCTACTTAAACTGTACGTGTTCAGGTTGGTGTGTGTTAAAATATTTTATCTAACAGTCTAGACAAACTACCTATGTGTTCAGGTTGGTGTGTGTTAAAATATTTTATTTAACAGTCTAGACAAACTACCTGTATGCTCAGGTTGGTGTGTGTTAAAGTATTTTATCTAACAGTCTAGTTAAACTGTTTATGTTCAGGTTGGTCTGTGTTATTAAAGTATTTTATCTAACAGTCTAGACAAACTACCTACATGTTCAGGTTGGTGTGTTATTAAAGTATTTTATCTAACAGTCTACTTGAACTACCTATGTGTTCAGGTTGGTCTGTGTTATTAAAGTATTTTATCTAACAGTCTACTTAAACTGTTTATGTTCAGGTTGGTCTGTGTTAAACTATTTTATCTAACAGTCTAGACAAGCTGTATGTGTTCAGGTTGGTCTGTGTTAAAGTATTTTATCTAACAGTCTAGTTAAACTGTATGTGTTCAGGTTGGTCTGTGTTAAAGTATTTTATCTAACAGTCTAGTTAAACTGTTTATGTTCAGGTTGGTCTGTGTTATTAAAGTATTTTATCTAACAGTCTAGACAAACTACCTACATGTTCAGGTTGGTGTGTTATTAAAGTATTTTATCTAGACAAGCTGTATGTGTTCGGGTTGGTCTGTGTTAAACTATTTTATCTAACAGTCTAGACAAGCTGTATGTGTTCAGGTTGGTCTGTGTTAAACTATTTTATCTAACAGTCTAGTTAAACTACCTATGTGTTCAGGTTGGTGTGTGTTAAAGTATTTTATCTAACAGTCTAGACAGACTACCTACTGTATATGTTCAGGTTGTCCTGTGTTAAAGTATTTTATCTAACTGTTTACTTAAACTACCTATATGTTCAGGTTGTCCTGTGTTAAAGTATTTTATCTAACAGTCTAGACAAGCTGTATGTGTTTAGGTTGGTGTGTGTTAAAGTATTTTATCTAACAGTCTAGACAAACTACCTATATGTTCAGGTTGTCCTGTGTTAAAGTATTTTATCTAACTGTTTACTTAAACTACCTATATGTTCAGGTTGTCCTGTGTTAGACTATTGGTTTTTGCTTTTTCCATGTGGCACGTCGTTATATACCTTCTATGTCTGTACTGGCCTTGAACTCCTCACTGAACTCACTACGGCCCATGGCGTTCTCGGCCAGTAGTTGGAAGGAGTACCTGGTGGCTGGGATCAGTCCTTTGACTGCAACTTTAGTATCTGGAGCCAGAATAACAATTTTTTCTCGGTTCTTATGGTCCGTTTCTGCAAGTGTTAGAAGAAATTTAAATTTCTTCTCCTGATGATAAACAATGGTAATGTGACATCAAAAACAATATTAGTTAATTATTTAAATACTTCATTAATATTAACATTTCTCACCCAATGAGGTATGCTATATTATTTCTCGATTGTTCCTGATATTAATACTTTTTAATTTCTATTTTTTGCTTTTATTATTGTAAATACTTTGCATTGTTAATTTAATATTTTTATTTTGAACTAACCGAGAAAATTGTGAGACATTATTGGGTTTACGGCTGAAAATATCTTTAACTGTGAGGATACCCAACTGACGAAACCACATTCTAATCGTTATCAGTAAGACGAAAGTACAGAATATTTGATTATTAGCTTTATTTTTTACCGGGTTGATAATTAGTTTCACTCTGAATGGGTAGTTGGCTGTGATTGTTATTTAATTGTCGTAAAAAAACCACAAACGGATGTTTCCTTATTCATGTCTAATTGATGGTCTATCCACCCATTCACCTATCTTACCACCTTCCTTCCAGTACACAAGTACATAACGTGTGATTGGGCTGTTTCCTGAGTATGGAGGCGACCAGGATAACGTCACTTTTCTACTTTCTATAAGAGAGGAGGTGATCTTAGACGGCCTGTCTGGAGGTTCTGGTGAAGAAAAATAAACTAGTTCAGTTTGTACTTAATCGAAATATAGTTTAGTAAATAACTTAGAAGTTGTTGAATCCAACGTATATCCAGGTTGTTAGATAGGTATAACTAGAAACGTTGTAGTACCTATATGTTTATTATTTACACACGACTATGTTATTGTAAGTATAACACATGTATGTTTAGTATTTACACACGACTAAGTTATTTTATGCGTTACACATGTACCAAGCTGATTAAACAGCTCTTGAATGAACAAAGCTTACCTTGCACGATTATCTGGATATTCATTTCATCTCTCCCAAAGTTATTGGAACCTAAACAGGTGAATAACGAAGAATCTCTCCTGTCTGCTGACTGTACCTGAAGCTGTGACGTCATCCCATCATCAGTTAACGTTTGGGTAATATCATATCTAAGGTAGGAAAATGGCTTCAGGTTTGGGTTTTTATCAAATAATCCAGTGCTAGAAGTATCGTACTGAAATATTAGTGTCATTACATACAGTTTAAGACTTCAGTCTACTCTATCATCAGTTCTGGAAGTATCGTACTAAAATATTAGTTTCATTACATACGGTTTAATATATCAGTCTATTCTATCATCAGTTCTGGAAGTATCGTACTAAAATATTAGTTTCATTACATACGGTTTAATATATCAGTCTATTCTATCATCAGTTCTGGAAGTATCGTACTAAAATATTAGTTTTATTACATACGGTTTAATACTTCAGTCTACTCTATCATTAGTCCTAGAAGTATCGTACTAAAATATTAGTTTCATTAATTTTATATTCTCACCTCCTGTCGAACCTGAAATCTAGATTCTCTCCATCTTTCTTCCACTTGACTGTCAGGGGATGATCTCCAAATAACTGACAAGTAACCTGGAGAAGCTGACCTTTCCGGATTGTTTCCGCCTTAAACTTATTTGGAAAGTAAGCAGGAACTAGATTTAGAGGAAACTTAGTGTTACATATTTCAAACACTAGACTACAAAGGTTGAGCGTAAAACAGGCAACAGATTCAGTAACTAGACAGTACACGTGTACAGTGTAGACAGACAACAGATTCAGTAACTAGACAGTACACGTGTACAGTGTAGACAGACAACAGATTCAGTAACTAGACAGTACACGTGTACAGTGAAGAACAATTCAATGTCCTTCCTTTGTTAAATCACCCAAGACTGAACACAGTACTCCAAATTAGGCCTAACCAATAACCTATACAACGAAATTATAACCTCTTTACATTTATATTCAGTATTTCTGTAGATAAAACATAAAATCCTATTTGCAACAGCACATTGCTTGGATGGTTTAAGAGACTGATCAACCAGAACACCAAGATTATTTTCTTCTGTAACACTGCTAAAGTTATTCTCATTAGGATTATATTTGTAATTCAAATTATGATGCATTAAATAAAATAATTCACCCATTCCACCAAAACAATGGCAACTTAAGACTGAAACCAAAGCGTAAGGGAATCTACCATTATATTAAATCTACTAAAATCACTAGGAGATGGCGCTAGTATACTCAATAAATTTGTTCGTCAGGATTTAAATAAAACTAAGATTTTTTCAAGATATAAAAATCCATATCAGTAAATATGTGAACTCACCCTTGACATGCAACTCTATCACTGTGCTAAGTCCAGATCCTATTTCATTGGCTGCCTGACACATATACAAACCGGCGTCGTCTTTTTCTACCTTTCGAATGGCCAGAGAACCGTTGGCCATGACGTTTATGTGCGCATTGGTGCGTAATGAGACATATTCACTGGACATTGACCCTGAAGACAAGACAGAAATGTAATCATACTCTTAAAACGACGAAACATTACTACTTCTAATTGTATAGGTACATGTTGTTGTCTTTCCTATTTGTTATTACTAAACCCGTTTGTCTTAGTTTCAAACCAAATATTGTTTGACTTCAATACCTTGTCTTGCGAAACATTTTAAACATAAACTTTAAACATGTGATTACCATATTAGCCTATTTCTTGTAACACGTGACTAATATGTTTACCCGTTTTTTGTAACACGTGACTAATATGTTAACCCATTTCTTGTAGCACGTGACTAATATGTTTTCCCATTTCTTACAACACGAGACTAATATGTTAACCCATTTCTTACAACACTTGAATGACATGTTTACCCATTTCTTGCCACTGGCGACTAATATGTTTACCCATTTCTTGTAACACGTGACTAATATGTTTACCCATTTCTTGTAACACGTGACTAATATGTTTCCCATTTCTTGTAGCACGTGACTAATTTCTTTACCAATTTCTTGTAGCACGTGACTAATATGTTAACCCATTTCTTACAACACATGACTAATATCTTTACCCATTTCTTACCACTCGCGATTAATATGTTAACCCATTTCTTACTACACATGACTAATATCTTTACCCATTTCTTACCACTCGCGATTAATATGTTAACCCATTTCTTACAACACGAGACTAATATCTTTACCCATTTCTTGTAACACGAGACTAATATCTTTACCCATTTCTTACCACTCGCGACTAATATGTTAACCTATTTCTTAAAACACGAGACTAATATCTTTACCCATTTCTCGCCACTCGCGACTAATATGTTAACCCATTTCTTGCCACTCGCGACTAATATGTTTACCCATTTCTTGTAATACGTGACTAATATGTTAACCCATTTCTTGTAACACGTGACTATGTTTCCCATTTCTTGTAGCACGTGACTAATATGTTAACCCATTTCTTGCCACTCGCGACAAATATGTTAACCCATTTCTTGCCACTCGCGACTAATATGTTAACCAATTTCTTGCAGCACGTGATTAATATATTCACACACTTCTTGCTACACGTGATTAATATATTCACACATTTCTTGCCACACGTATCTCACGTATATGCTGATGAGCGATTTTCCATATTCATGAAAATATACAAGTATCCCCCCCCCCGCCACTCACACAGACATTGGCACAGCAGTAAGCTTAAAGGCTTATAATGCTAAATCCTTGTTTCGACTACTCACGGTGGACACAATGCAAATAGCCTGTTGTGTAGCTTTAGGCTTAACAACAACTAACCAACCAGCTGTAATTTTTCTTTTGGAAATGGTTTCTTACCTTACGCTAAATAAACTGTTGTAGTTAGAAAACTTGCTAACTCTAACATGACAGAAATGACGTTTTTAGCCGGCCACTAAAAGTTCCATCTCAAAAATATACTGGTTTCATTTCGGACAAAATTTTCATTGAAACCAGCACTTTGCCCACTGTTAGGATCGTACTCAGAATGTTAGCGCTATAAATCCTCAAGCTACTTCAGAGTCGTTGTGAAAGCAGCTGTTTGAATATAAAATATGATGCTTTTTTATTAGGCTAAATAACAAGTCCAAGACGTGAAGTCTGGGCTAACTTGATGCACATTGTTTTAAAGTCTGATAAAAGCTGAAAGGAACATTGGGATAAGAGTATCGGAAACTGATCTTTATTAAGCCACAGTGCTGCCGCTGCTGGCAAGTTTTTCAAATAATGGTTTACAAAGAACGTTTTACAACAACGAGATATAAAGAAGCAGCAGAAAAACGACTCCAGTCTTTTTTTCAATGTGCCCCTGGTGGCTGTCTGGGAGTTATAACCTTAAATATCGAGTTTCGAGGCTCGCAGTGGGCACAACACAGTTAATCCATTGTATAGCTTTGTGCTTAATAACAAATAAAACTTTTCATTGTGACAGCAACGTCAAAGAAGGGTGTTTTGTAATATATCAATATTGATTACCTCTAAGCCTCTTCCAGGTAATTCCTGGTTGAGGGAACCCTTCAGCCTGACAGTTGATGATGACGTCATTATTTAGGATTGCCGAAGTCTCAGTGGGTTCACTGATCCATCTAGGGGGAGCTGCGGTAAAAAGCAGAAATACGCGTTAAACAATAGTTGGATGTATTTTGTCGTTCAAGTAACACATGAAATGTTAGACACAAAAATTAAATTTTTTATTACCTAGATATATTATTGATGCAACAAATGATTTTTTATTGTCTGGATATATTATTGATGCTACAAGTGATTTTTTTATTATCTAAATATATTATTGATACAACAAATGACTTTTTCTTGTTTGGATATATTATTGGTACAACAAATGATTTTTTATTGTTTGGATATATTATTGATACAACAAATGATTTTTTCTTGTTTGGATATATTATTGGTACAACAAATGATTTTTTATTGTTTGGATATATTATTGATACAACAAATGATTTTTTATGATTTGGATATATTATTGATACAACAAATGATTTTTTATTATTTGGATATATTATTGATACAACAAATGATTTTTTATTATTTGGATATATTATTGATACAACAAATGATTTTTTATTGTCTGGATATATTATTGATACAACAAATGATTT